TGCTTATATTATTATGATGATGCTCTCAATAGGGCTAGAACACCAAAGCTCTGAACTCTACAGTGAGAAAACTCAGACTGAAACAATTTTAAATCTCCTCCTCCAGACCCCTTTACTTCCTTCCTTGTCTATGATAGCTCTGATCTCCCTTCAAGCTATAAGCATACAGGTCGCCAAAGCCATCTTTTTTTTTCCCTTTTGACCTGATTATGAAACTTTCAGCTTTGAAACATTATTCTCTTCGTTCCTCTGTGCTACCTCCTTCAAGGACCACACAGTTCTTGTTCCTTATTTAATCCCTCTGACATGCTTCCAAATGTCCTTAGTCCTTTGCAGGTGCTTCCCCATCTTTTCTGACAGCTTAGGTGAGAGTTGTCTCGTATAGTTCCAATTATTTGCAAAATTGTATCATGTTTGGGGATCAGGTCTGGATGAGCAGAGAAAATGTCTTCCATTGCATAATCTCTTATGGACCTCTTCGGTTCACAAAAAGGAAAATAAAAAACAAAATGGAAACAAAATGGAAACCTATATGATTGTGGAAAGGCTGGGTAGTAGCCCGTTGGAGAGAGATGGAGTACTGGAATCCACACAAACATTCACTTTGCCTGGAATATGACTTTCGAGGTTTGTTTATCATCGGCATGAACTCTGTTTTAAACAAGCAAATACCAAAATTATCATTGCACTCTCACCTGGATCTCATGATCGCCATCTAGAGAAAAAGCTTTTCTACCATGTGTGAAAACAAAGCATGGTTGATGAACATGATATTTGAGAGAAAGAATATGCTCAAAGTAAAACTGGAATATCTGTTTCCTCCAAACACTCCTTCCTTTACAACCATTAGGTACACTGTGGATGTAGTGGTGTTATATATTCTAATATAATGGAGAATTAAAAAAAAAATAAAAATAAGAAAGACTTTTGAACTTGCATTAATGTTTTTTTGTGCATCACCATGGCACTTTCTACTGGCCAAACATGAAATGAGAGTCTTTGTTTAAAGGGACCAGCTTCACAAGCACCCTACTGGTGAGCTAGAAGGTGTGGCCCTAAGTCGCTGGACTGGATCCCAGCATTTTTGCTGCAGGTTGTATCATACCTGATTGATTCCCTTTGGCCTCATGATTCTGCAGAGAAGACAAATGTTTATGGAATTACAGCATGCTGAGCTCCCCAGACGCACATGCTCTCAAAGCATGCCTGCTTCTACAAAGTGGAAAAGCTTTGATTAATAGGAATAGCACTAGACTTTAAGGCGCACTTTATTTCATTGATGAACTTTGAGGTGTCTCCGGCAGTAACGGTTTTGTAAACTGTAATCGTTAACATCGCTTATTCAGGATTTACAAGAGAGACTAACATTGCCTATTTTTTCAGGCTGCTACAGGGATAAATAACTGATGTTGAACAAGCAAATCAGGATCTCTGTGGGAGAAAAAAAAATAGAAGGAAAAAGAATTGTGTGTGGGTTTTAGAACCAGCAAGGCATTTTTCTGAGGTGCCCGTAAAAGTACATGGTGTGATGTGATTGTGTTATAAAAGAGGGAAGGGTGATGTGTGGGCTCCATTACATAATATTATTGCAGAGCTTAAACGGTAAAGGGTCGCAATAGAAAAGGGATGTCATGGAAATCAATTTGCATCATATACCACTTAGAAAATGCAAAAATTAAAGTGTTTGTTCAAAACCTCCTCCATAACAGGATTAACTGACAAGGAAATTAAAAATTATGTAAGAGGAAAAGCTGAAGAGATAATCCAGGATGATCCAAAGGATTTTGCAGATATCTCTGTACTGTTAACAATCTTGTAATGAAATCTAGCAATTTAATGAGCTACATTCTCCATTGGTACAAATACAGTTCCATTTACACACTTAATGTGTTTTTTACTTTGACGTATATCTAAGCATGATATACTTGTTTTAGTGTATCATGCTGGGCATCAGTACACATATATTTAGCAGTGTACTCCTGTTGAAAGCAGTATATCTGTTGATTAAAAAGCCAAGGATGTGGTTCATAAACCATTACTTTCAGGGATGTCTGAAACAAGTGCTCAAAATCCTGCTTCATACTCACAGTGATGTATAACCCTGGCTTGTATCAGCAGTTTCATCTGTCTCTTGGTGGTTGGTGCTGTCAGACATTTTGACACATTCTTTTTTATTGGCTAAAAAACAATGTAATAGTAAATAACATGAGCCAGTTGTCTTCACAAGAAAAACACTTTAGGAAAGGTGCTGTTATTTCCTTGATGATTAAGTTGGCCTATTGAATTTGCATGAATATCCTTGTGGAGTTACATGACTGTATGAATGTAATGAAGACAGTTTGGGTCCATCTTTGTCTCACGGGTCACACTAGGAGCAGCATGTGACAAAAGCTGACTCTTGACTAGTTTCTTATCATGTGCTCTGTTACAGCTAGTCTGCTGCAGTAGGAATGTGTTACAAAAGTCAGTGAGCGATTGCTGCCCTTCCCTCTCCTGCCTTTTGCTTGTCTTTTATTGCTTACTGCTCCTGGAGCTTTCTTGAAGCAAATTGAGTGCTGTCCTTAGCATCTCTCCTTGAAGTTTGTTGCTCCAATCAATCTCTTCTCCCCATGAATAATCTCCACCTTCTTTTTTAAAATATTAATTTTTTCTTCACTTTGGGCTTCTCTTGCTTCATCCAGCTCTCTTACCAACGCAGCACACGTCTCTTCCTCTGAATGTGAAGCGTGCAGATCAGCTCAGTGTTTTATAATGTCCTAATTACTGTACTCACAGGTTACGGGTTATAACAGTATGCCAGAGGGTCAATGAACCTTTTAAGTTAAATGAGAAGATGTATCTTCATGGGACCTAATTAGAAGGTGAAGTTAATAAAGACAGAAGGGGAAAAAAAGCCAGTAAGAAAGTCATATACCTTCAAAAGCTGTTGAAAGAAGTAATCTACGGGTGTCCTTTAAATACTAGCTGGACTTTACCGAGAGGTAAAGTGTGAGGAACTTTGTGAGAGCCTCATGATGAGAGCTGGAAGTTCCCAAGTGGAAGTTCCCCGGTGTACATCCTTGTGGCACATTCTAACAGGAGAGACAAGAGGAGCCAGAGGAACAGTGAGAAGCTGGAATCGCTGCTTGCATGGTGTTGGTAGGCTAAGCAGAGGCTGGGGAAGCAGTAGAAGTAGTTTCCCGATGCCTCCTCTTTTAATGCTTCCTAGGAACCTTGTGCCAGAGGAGGTGAGTGTGCCTATTGACATGCCTGCATTGAAGAGCTGGAAGTAGAGACAACTTCTAGGGCAAGTAAACCCAGAAAGATCCAGTTAGAGAGCATGGAGGCTGTTAGACCACAGACTTTTACTGGTGCTATGTACCGTTGGACCCCTGCAATTCATGGGGCTTTCCGGAGATATTTTGAAACATTATTCTGAAATGCTGGGAAAAATAACTGCTCCAAGACTCAGTATTTCTGAATCATTCAGCTATAATGTTGCTTTTAAGAACTGTACTTGGAATGAAAATAGATGTTGTCTCTCCCCACACTGCCTTGGGCAGAAAAATTCATGATGAGTTTGGAATGGTGTTTGTTGACATCACAGAATTGTATTTGAAAAAGTAATTGCACAGCACTGATTTCCTTCATTATTAGGGATTCAATACTAAGAATAGAAATATATTATTCTTATTCTTCCATGTTCACGTTCCTCACTGGAGTTTATGTAAACAGGTCCCCATGTATATGTGTACAAACCTATTGAATTCTGTGTGAACTAAGTACTGGGATGTATTTTTTCCTGCAAATGCAATTTGCTCGAAAGGGCAAGACTCTGGCTTTTACTTTCACACATAAATCTCATTTCTCACTTTGTATATGTTCATGTTATTCTCAGATTCTTTCACCTTTTCAGCAGCAGTGCACAGTTCCATGGTCCTCTCTGGACCCTAAACACGGGGAGGACTCCCATTCAGTATTTAAGATACACCTACTCCTTAATGTTTGGGTGTTTGCTAAGCACAAAACTAATCTTTTATATTTACTAAATTATTTGCATGAGAACTTTCTTTTTTTTTTCTTTGTTTTTTTGTTTATTTAGTTTTGGGTGTTTTTTGTAGGCAGAATGAGAATTCATAAAATTTCCATGATTTAATTTTCATCATTTGTTGGCAAAAAAAATGCACAGAATATATTCTTTCTGTGAAATTAATCTCTTAGAAAAATTCTCACCTGGTATATCTTTGTGGAACAGGCACCAAATGGATTAATCAGGCAGGTTCATGGCACTGTCTGTCAGGCTCATCAAAATTAATGCTGCTTTGCCCAGTACATGGGTCTACTACCTTGATGGTTTGAAATAGGCTTCTGGATGGATTGGGTCACCCATAGAAAGAAGAGCAACCATGATGCTCTGAGAATGTCAGATGGACCTACAGCCTTCAGATCAATGTAAAACCATAGACTGTTTTGGGGTGGAAGGGACCTTAAAGATCATGTAGCTCCAACTCCTCTGCCATGGGTAAGAACATCTTCCACTAAACCAGGTTCCTCAAAACCTCATCCAAACTGGCCTGGAATACTTCCAGGAATAGGACAAATGTGTCCTGTGTGCTCGAGGACATACAGAAAGACATCAGCACTACCCTCAATTCAGGAATTGATACTACAGGTGGTTCATCTCAGCTGGCCTTCCAGCAGCAGCACTTTGTTGACCCCTGTTGGCAAGCAAGGAGTGCAAAGAGGATCATGCCTGCTTGAATTTCCTTGTTACTTTGGGGTGCCTCAGGATGCTGCTGGGAAAAGCAATTCCCTACCAAACCAAGGAGCAGTTTTGAACTTAGAGTGAACAGAAGTCAAATTACAAAGGTCAATATTAAAAGAATGAGTTTTACTTATAATGTGGATAAAATATTCAGAATCACGTAGAGAAATGTTTGGGCAGCCAAATTTGCCTGATGGATCTGGGGTTACCTCAGGTGAACGACACTGCCCTGAAATAGCTGATAGGGGTGTGCAAGCAGATGCTCAGACACTGTTTTTTTCTTGTGAGTTTGTTTCGTTTGGGGTTTTTTTTGTTGTTATGAAGGAGTAGGAGAGATTTTGGTGAGTATTTCATCCCCAGATCCTGTGCTTGACTAAACTCCTTCTAATGGAGCTGAAGCAGTTCAGGGCCTGCTGTGAGATGGCACAGTCCAGCAGAGCAGCAAGCACAGCTGGTGAGAGTGACTATTTACAGAAAATTAAGATAAATCTAGATCAGTAAGATTTGTCCTCTAGCAAGATACTTGAGATACCCACATTTGTGAGAAAGCATGGGGAAATGGTAAAGTGAAAGTGAAGATGACTGAGGAAATTACACCAGCCTTCCCAGGAAATGGGGGTGGTCTCTGGGGGTGTCACACGTGTCAGTGTCCTTGAAGCAGCCTGCTGTCATTGATCAGATCAGTCTCTATTCAGGAGATGCAAAAAACCTTCTGTAAAATCTAAAAGAGGGAAGTTATTTTTTTTTATATTATAATGAGTGGGAAAGAATTTCGGTAAAGGTTGAAAAAATGCAATTGCTTCTTGTGTGTGGAAGTGATCTATGAAAGCAAAATACTTAGTGGAAGAGTAGAGTCAGAACACATTACAGCATTCCTTCATAAAACAGTTTTCTGTATATTTGATTATATTTTATATTGCTGAAATATAAAACACTGCTATAAACCTTGCACAGTTGAGATGTCTGTACTGTTTCACATTTGTCTTTCCTAAGCTTATGCTGGACTTTTACCTGTCTTCTGCACAGCAACACTTTTATTGGGTTGGCTTACGCAGTTCATAAGGCTTTATCACTCATTTTATGCTAAAGCAAAGGACCTATTCTCACTGTTTTGTTTTCTAGTTGTTGGTGTAGCTTCTCTAAAATTGTTTTTCGTATTAAGTTTGTAAAAAGATTAAGAGCTGAACTTCAGTTTGTAGGGGAATAATGTGTGTGTAATAGTTTGTAGAATTTTCTAAATTAATTGAAGCACTGAATTTGACCACAGAGATGAAAAAGATGCTTTCGCTGGAAGTTATTTGGAGTTTTGGCCATTCATTTCTGTGGACGTGCAGTCTCAGCCTAAATACAGACTTAAAAGCTTGTCCCTTTAAGCTGTCAGTGTTCACATTGTCTGCACCAATATTCTCAGGGCATACATTTCCCCGTACATTAATAACTCAATTTTCTTAATAAAGCAGGGCCAGCGCTGTCATTAAGGTTTTGTGGACAGAGGAGATGGAAAACTGGTTAGCAAACAGTGAATGCCAACTCACGCCTGTACTGAACCATTGAAAAGTCTGAATACTTAATGCTGAGCCTTAATGAAATGGTGGTGTCTGTCACTGCAGTGCCTGAACAGCTCCCAAGGCTAAATGGGGGAGGGTTACTCACTCATCTTTTTCAGTAGGAAAGAAAGGTAAGAAATGAGGTTGTCCTTCAGTGAGAATGATTTGTCCTAAGAAAATCTGTAGGCAGACTTGGATTTGAGTTTACTTCAAAGGCCGTTTTGATGTTTTAGCAGAAAGACCAGGGATACTCCAATTGCCCAGTCAGAGGAATAAAATGAAAGCAAAAAGGTTTCTATTTCATGAAGGTCATATCAAACACAGATAAATAACCTAAACCTACCAGAGTAATTCTAGGCAAAATGTCTTAATTCTGTTCCACAATTCTGCTTTTCCAAATCACAGACAATTTATCTGTCCTCAGGTCAAGTGGTCCTACCAATGTGTGGGCTGATGGGCTGATAACAAAATCAATTCCACTGGTTAATTATCAGTTAATCAGTTACAGTTCTTTAAAAAGTGCACTAATGAAGTTGCTCTGATTAGAAATATATGGATATTACCTCCCTGGGCTTTCCAAAATGTCAGGTTTTTTCCATTCCCTTAGTCATACAGGGAGTTCCTCTACATTCCCTTGCTACGGTTACTCAAGACTTTACTGAAATATGCCTTCTATTTTGAGCTAGAGACAGATTAGTGCCAAATTATGTGCTTTCTCTGCACTTAACTGATGGGTAATATTTTAAAATATCATTTTGAAAAACTCTAATTGTCTCAACAAATCTTTTTTTGGTAAACAGAATCTTCACATTTCTTTTAGTGCTTTATTTTCAGGCAATGCATGCTATTGAAATGCATGAGAGGAAATTAAATGCATGTGATTTAGTAAAATGTTCACTTAAGGAACCAGTGGTTTTGCATATTAGCATTTTGTAACAATTAGAATGTTTCTGGGTTTCAATTAAGGTAGTATATGCCTGTTCCATCCACCTGGATTTTCTTAAGTTTAATGTCTCTCATTCTCCCTTTTGTGATAAGCTCAGTACTTGGCTAATTTAATTTTTCTTTCTTTTTTTCTATTATTTTGGCATCACTTCTCTAAGCTCCAGCCAAGAGGAAAGCGTTTCTATGATATAACATGCAGGATTAGGACATTCCTTAGAAAGCCTAGTTTTGCAGGTGTAGGACAAGGAGAGAAGAAGCAAATAATATGAGAGAAAATTGGGAGAAAAAAAATATTTTTTTCTTGGAAATTAGATATTTCCATGTTGCTTTTTGGCTGGGCTTGAAAATTGACTCAACATGACAAATTCTAAAGACCCTTTTTCAATTAGTTGAATTGAGAAAGTTTCATCTTCACACCTGTGGTGCAAATAGTCACGTGAATCCCTTTGTTTGCCTCAATTCCCTGGAGCCCCTGCCTGTGCTTGGGCCACTGCTGTGAATACTCGACTCCTCAGACTGCGCGCTGTGGCCCACACACTGTGCCTGCAGAGGTGTTCACTCCTGGGGAAACAGGACCCATGGGAGTCCTAAGGGCCTATTGTTCCCATAATTTGAGTCAGAGCTTTGCTAGCAGATTGGTAATGTCATCTTGGTCTGAGTTTGTATGTTGGATTTTTTCCCAGTGGAAACTTCTCCCTTATCTCTATCTTCTCAAAAAACAAAATAAACAGGAAAATAATAAGTATTGAGCAGTCTTAAGCTTTTGCAAAAATAAGCATAGTTGCAAAAACCAATTGGCTTTCCTTATCACTTCCAGAGCACAAGTGAGACT